TCGCATACCCTCCAAGTCATCTTTGCTTGACTCTTGTTTCAGGTCATGCTTGCTGGTTGAAGTGGGACGCAGCAGCCTCACTGAAGTAGAGATGCCATCGCAGTCAGGTGTTGACAGCCCAGTGCCATCCAGCCTTGACTTGGTGACCAGGGAGAAGTCTTCTGCACTCAACCTAGTGACTGTCCTGGGTATCTGGGGTGGAGAGGCACTTTCCGACTCTTCCGATTCAAGGGTGAGACCTTTGTTCCAGGGAGTATGGCCTTTGCTGAACTGTGACTTGATTCTCTTGCGGTCGCCTTTCATCGTGATTGTGTCGAATAGAACTAATGAGCTCTGAGCACAGCATGTACTTATATATCCCATCTCTGTGTGTTGTCACTGGCACTGACAAGCAGGTATATGTATTAGAAAATGTATTGGAAACTCAAGACATACACATGTCTTGTGCCACTGGTGTAAATCGCAGTTGAGCCATACACACCTACTGACACTTTGTCGTGTATTGGCCAGGTGTCAGGTGAGAGTGGACACGCTTGGTGACTCGCTGCACTTGATTGGCTGTACACAGCTACTTGACCAGCCAATCAATTTAACGAGGAAAGATAGGGCTTTCTAATGAATAAAAATTTAACAGTTTCAATTTTCATTTTTGTTGAAAAATATGAACTTTAATGGAATTATTTTAGTATAAAATGCATGTATGTATATAAAAATAGAGAAAAAAATGAAAAAAATGCTTTAATGGACTGAAACCAGTGTCCTTTGATAGCACATGCAATAACAAAAGAGGAACACTTGATGTTTTTTGTCAATTTCCACCTGGTTATGGAGTTATAGACAAATTAGAATTGTGTTTGAAATTAATTCATGCCCAAAATTAACACTCAAATGCCAGAGATACAGCATGGAGTAAAAGGAGTATAAGTCAAGTTGTGTATGAGTTAGGGCTTTCTGTGAGCCTTACATAGTGTCTGGGCTTAGTATTGATGAAGTTTTATTTAATTTGCAGACTTTTGGTGTCCTGATAGGCCTCAGACCACAGTTACCCCCCTTAACTTTTACCATGACCCGGAAGTAAAATATGAGAATATAGTGCCTTGTTTAAATAGGCTGTTCTGCTTGTGCTAATTTTTTCAGGGTGACTTGTGATAGCTTAAATGAAAGGTAAGACATTGTACTTTATTGCAAAATTCTTTTGGTCCACAATCTACTCATGGTATTGACACCGGCCTTCCTTGATTTGACCCCAAGTTCAAGGCTGTCTAGTGTGTTTCGGCTCGTAACTTCCGGTGACCATTGTTTACAGTGGATACAGCAAAATTGACATGGTCGATCCAGGCTCATATTTTGCCGATTAAGTGACAAGTGGCAGGTTGGTCAGCATGCAACAGGAGAACAGCCTACGACCGATATTAATTATGGTGCACTGGCATGTCACTGTAGATAGCAAAGAAGGAAAATAATTGTGGTCTGAGGCCTGATCCACATGCAAGTTTCTCAGTATCTTTGATTTGAACATTTGTTGATATTAGGACCACCACTTTATTCTACATTGTTTATGCAGATAACATATAATTGTCAGGCATGTTGATGCTAGTTTGTTAGTTTTTTTTTACTTTGCCCGACGCAACATCGTTTACAAACATCGGTATCAACAACAGGTGCGACGAAATTTGGGTTTCAAAATAACATTCATGCTTTTCTTATTGTGACAAAAAATTGATGCATGACGCATATGTATTATATCATATATTAAAATATAGTATCAATTGTAGTTTCATGTGAAATAAGGGATGATTTAATAAATTACGTGTATGAGAGATTTATAGCCTCACTTCAGAACAATTTGAATTACATATCTAAATTTATGCAATAAATTAAAATCCTTGGTGAATACTGATGTTATGCTTAATGTTTCACAGCTGGTTACAACTTTAAACATTTTCATATATTTTCATATGTTAATTATTATGAATAATATAATTGGTATTTTTCTCTCCCAAATATCATGGGTAGAGACACTAAGGATATATCAATGCATTAGCAAAGTGTAAATAACCAAGTTTCAATTACAGTCTTTCAGCGATGTGAAAACTAAAAATTTTACATAATTATTTAATACAACTATACCATAAAATATATGGATAGATGTTTCATATTATTTTGTGTGTTCTGTTTCTATACAATATCTTGCTAAAATATACCACAAATACAGATGGGTGATGAATTATTTTTGTTTTCTACAGTAACTCCTTGTTTTGTGAATTACTTTCAATCACAAATATCTAGTGTCATTTATGATGTTGGGATAACAGTATATTTATCAGAAAATGTTATCATTTGATGAAAACAGACCATATACATGCAATAAAATATATGGCCTCTGATGAAACTCATCAGGCCTCATATTATGTTAAATAGAAATTATCTTACCTTAGTATCTTTTCCTGGGTTTTGGAGCAATGACATAATATGAAATTATTCTACTGAACTTTCAAGGATTGTTGCTGTGTGCTGAAGTGTCTGATAATGATATGCTCCAATTACTACAGTATGTAAAATTGTCTCTGCCATCATAAAACAAAAAATGTCAAGAACAGTCTTCTTTGATTTCAAATAGTGCCAAAACCTGAGCACTCTTTTATTTAGGGTCTGTATGTATGTGATACTGTCGTTGCCACATAATATGGCAATAAAAAATCCAAATTAAAATCTCAATGATTTAGCTACAAACCGGACAACAAAAATCATTTATTGCAGGGCTCGATTTTGGGAAAGGAAACCTATATGCCCCTGGTGCCACCTTACATGATTACCTTGATGCCTCAGACAAAACACAGGTTGCGCCTCCTGCTCAATACGTAATTATCTATTTTCTCTTGTGGTTTTGATATTGCTGATTCACAGCATCGTTTCAACAAATAAATCTAGGTCTGGTATGATAATTTTATATTACATCATAAAATTTCACGACATGAAAAAAAGGGTCATTCCTTCAGTCGCTGTCAGTGTAATCGTTGCTCCGAACCAGTTTGGGTCATCAGTCTGTTTCCCAGATGAAGTTATTTACAGCAAAATATCAACATGCACAGTGTGCAAGTAGGTGTAAATACGAGGTTACATTTTGCAGTTTTAGCTTGAACCAGTGAGAATTCTAGATGCTAAATCAAGCCATGCACTGGGTCACTTGACCTGTAATGTGTTTTGGATAAAAATAGACACACGTCAAACAAAGTGAAAACTTAGTAGGTAGAATTAACACTTTGAAAGCTCTGCTTTTTGAGGCAACAGAATTCTTTCAATTTTGCTCCTACTTAGTGAACAAAAGATGTGATGTTTAGCTGTTTAATGTCTAAAATGAATACCGGCTTTGGGTGAAATGCATTCACACAGACTATATTTTTGTATCCCGTCATTCCAATTTTTAAGAAATCCATTTACATTACATTCTTACACTAGATCTGGTTTCATCCGTTTCTGTGAAAGGAAAAAAGAATTCATAATTGACACCAAAATTGTCCTTGTGACGATAGACACATAACAATATTATGTTATTGTTATGACATTTTATGTTAGAACATTATTCGAATGTCAACTCATCGCCCGCGAGAACCATTACGACTTCGAATTTGTAAAAATAAAGATCTACGCACTGGCGCCAATATTGAGGGGACAAAATGTACAACGCAAGCAAAAAATGCCAACTACTGTTGAAAACAGCCAACAGTAACGAACTGAAGGTGATTAAAAACTTAATTCTATTATATATTTTGGATTTTACCGGAATTTGAATCAATTTAGAAATGTATCAATGGTCGTTTTCCAGCTCGTGCCTTTTTTACCTCCATGAGTGCCATGCCGTACGTGCTTCCGGTTTCATCACGGGTGGGTACACTTACAAATATTGTGATAATGTTTCATGATCTGCATTATTTAGGTATTGAGTCGTTTTCTTTGAATGTTTTTAAGTGCAGATTCTGCTTATGAACGCGTATTTTCAAACATCCTTCGTGTCTTGTCACCTAAAAAAACTGCGAGTTTGGAAACGCCCTTACGCGTCACCCACGGCTGTCAACAATGTCAGTGTGGGAAGGTTTATCCAACAAAATCTTTATAAACTCGATAAATATGATCATTTTGTTACAAAGACAATACCTTTTACCTAATCAGACCATGTAATTAATTCCAGCGAAAATAGTTGGATCTATCAAAAGGATGGCACATTTTTTTCGGTATCACGATGCATGTGGAAGTGTTTGTTTACCGCCGTTGCCATGATCGTTCCTATTCGTTCAATCGGTGATGTAACATTGAGATTGTTTTTGTTTATAATTAATTAAACCGAAAGTTACAAATATTTAGGAAATGGGAAATTTCAGCGTTTTCTCTTCACCAAAGAACAAAATTATTGATCAAACTATAAAAAAAATGTTTCATTATGAAGAAAACATGAGACAGGGTACTACTCGACGTGATGTGCCTGAAGTAAAAAAATGGCCGTTATTTGCGCTTGTGTGCCGAGAATTTTGGCGAAACATTTTTTAGTTCGCGGGCGTTTCGTTTAAAGGTACATAAACTAATGGAAGATTATATGTTCAGACAGCTGAGAATTGATTCATTCCATACATAATTCAAATGACACGTAAATCCGACTTGTTGAATAATTATTGCAAGTTTTATTTGGGGATGTCATTCTGCTGCTCTCCTGTCGAATGGGTTCGACAGTAGCATTGAGAGGATTAATTCATTTGATGCATTTTAACTCATCAAAATAACACCAGGATTGAATATCGTGTTAAGTAATGCTCAAGGATCATTGAATCTGAATGTATTAAATTCGGCGTGACGAGAAAATGCTTCTAAACTGAGCATATTGAGGATCGATAGGAACAGAATAAAGATTGTATAATTTAATACATTATAGAAAACTACTTTCAGCAGATGAATTTTTAATCGTGGAGAGTAAGGTGAACACAACCTTGCTATTTGTAAGCATTTTATTAACATCAGGTTCAGAACTTCCTCCGTCTTCCCGTTCAGCCACCACCATGCAGCATACAAATATGCATGTGAAAGGAAGTTAGTGTCACGGTGCAGACTTCGCTTAACTCAGTTCTCTAACGCTGTACAGGAAAACAATCAAGCTGTGCAGCGGCAACCTGCAACATATATAAATATGTATAAACATACCATCTATATATGTGTTAATCTACGATCCACGTCCACGATAACATGCATCAACCCATTTGAGTCCAACTCGTGTTATACCGGGACAAGCCGAGTAGCGACTTCTTGGATGTAACGACAAGAATGGGCTGCTGAATTCTAACCTGGTTCGTCAGGGTACACGAGTACAATGCTCATTTTCTTTACAATAGTGATAGGCGACGGACTACCACAGTATTGGTGTCCTCGTCATATAGCGGCAAACATAAATACATTATGGTTTCCGCCCATAAATACATTGGGAATATAAACTACTAAGGGAAGTTTTGAAAATAATACTTTTGAAATAAGCTTAGGTTTCAAAAGTCTAATGAACATCTGTTCCTTTTCAACAAAATACTTATTGTATTTATGAAAGATGAAGGCAGTGACTGATACTATTTCACAGCCAGCTTAACAAGCCTCGTGTCAGTTAAATATTGAGTTAAAAACCACTCTCTGTGATCGATCTTTTGACTTACAGTCATATGACCTTGTCTTTACATACATATGATTTCTGATACAACTCGAGCTGTTTCACTAACATTACTGCAAACTTATAACATTAACCACTTATAGCGTAAACATTTACTGTAGGCAGGAAATACATAACTTACAGAGAGCGGAGTGCCCGATTCGTTTTCGGCTATAGAAAACTGCATCCGCATTCCATTCCTCTACTAGATCTCTGCGGAGTTCTGGGAGATGCAATTGTTCTAGTGCCACACACCAATGAACCCTAGTCCCAAGCCCAGGTTCGTCCTGAGGAGGTTGGGTTTGACCAAGTTACACCAATGTGTCGAACACCTGTCTTTGCGCTTTCTTCCTAGACGCCGTGAACTAAGTGCTCTAAGTGAGTTAACTCACTCACCAAAATATGTCACCAACTGGGCTTGAATTCGGTTTCTAATGGACAGACTGCACATAGAGGGCAAACATATGAACACTTACTAAATCATGCCGCCACTTAACACCAAGTACAGCATGACAGCCAGACACGTGTTGAGAAACTGTCCACTTGCCCTGTCTGTAATGAAAGTAAGCGTAGCTAAAACCTTACTTAATTCACATACAACAAATTTATATAAATGAAGTGTTGTCAAATCCTACGCCAATAGTTTCCTTGTTGGTTTCAGTTTGCATGCACTTAATCCAGGAAATATCTGACGTGGTCATTCACTTATTAATGATCAACATCAACACACAGTGTTATAACACACCGAAAAACTGGCATCAACGAAAATATATATAAGCAATAAATATATAAAATATGAGTCCAGATATTTTTTCTTGTCAAATATCCTTTATATCTGCACAGCAGTTTTAATTGTACACCTGAAGAACCGTTGAACGGCGAAAGATCTTGTGCAGATATAAAGGAGATTTGACAAGAAGAAATATCTGGACTCATATTTTATATATATATTCTCTGATATACATACTCTGCTGGGATCTCAGCACTGTGCAAACGGACCATCCTTTCATATACTGTGAAAACCCCGTTGGTCACAATACATACATATACCTTGATGCTAGTTCTCTTTTTACGTCTTTGTGTATGAACATTGAATTGATATCCAGTGTATTGCATTAATCTAATCCTGCGAATCAGCCTCGGGTCTTCAACGCGGTGATCGAACCTCAAAACAAGGACGATACCATAATGCGGAAACTTTCACAAACAGCAATTTATTTTGATTTAACTATATATTTCCGTAAATAGCATACATTTGATACACGGTTTATTATCTCAATAGGATGTGGCTTACGGAAGTGTTTTTAACTATAAACGATGTTCAGCTTCAACAATCCCATGCCTTAGTCATGACTCACTGAAACCTAGGGTAGCCGAGAACTCAAATCTCTCGACAGGGTGACACCCTTCATGCATCCACTGGGATAGATATAGGTACGCTTATAACGAACCCTCTTATAATAAACTGACTTTTGTTCCTGGAAACAATGTGCATATGTTTGTCGAAATACGTGTAAGGAACTACGGGAAAAACGAACTTAATTAGGAATTCTTTGCGTCCGTGATAATTGATGTTAACCCTACATTACTGGAGTTGTGCTCCAAGCTCTTAAGTACAAGAAATGAAGTTGTTTCTTTGCCGAGTCTAAGCATTCTATGGTATACCATCATTGTCAGTACCAATGATGTATAATCAACAACCTATACCGAAAAGGACAACAGACAAACGAGAATTTAAGCAGGTTACTGTTTTTGTACTACCTGATGTATTGATGCTGGTAGTATCTGCAGTGCCTGTCAAATACAACACACAGAGATATCAAGTGTAGCTCGGAATATTTCCGAAAAGAACAATAAATGGGTTTATGTTTCCAAATTTAATGAGTGCACATGGTCGAAGCATTATAGTTGCATGTTCAGTCAGCGGACTAATGCCAGAGTTACGTACCTTTGGCATATAAGGAACCGATGTTTTCGGGCTCAGTTCGCAGATCCGGTTACAAGTGCTTACAGCTTACAACAAATGAAACTTACAGAATATTGCTAGATTTCACATGAACTGAAACAAGCTACGTTTTATACAAACTGATGCTGTTGATAAAATCAATCAATCAATAAATATATTACCTATGCGATTACTTTCTGATGAGTAACTTGGCACGGCAGCTGATGTGGTTGCGACGGTACCGAACCCTCCATGCAGCTCTACAAATAGTTTGATAGTTGGAATGCTTTAACATGTCAGCGACAATTGATAAAGATACATATTCCTTTGTTAATATATCAGGTTATATCATGATTAGAGTTGTTGAGATCAATCATATCACAATTAACATGCCAACAAGGTCACCATAAGAGACGACAAGTACCATCGTGGTACTCTCTGTTTTCGGTGAAGCGGTTCTCTTACGATATATACTGTTATCAAATTGAAATAACTTCAGTTTCTCTTGATGGCTTTACAAATACAATAATATAATAAGGTGATTATAACATTACAATATTACAATATCGCGTAGGTACCGCTCAAATATTACGATTTTTCTCAGCTATTATATGGTAAATGATGCAATACTAAAGAAAGCACAGTCCACATTAAATATTACTGTTATATATACGGTAGGAATCTATTTGTATATACGGGAAATATTTATGAAATTTAATATGATACATGTTTCACTATCATTCTAGAGTCGTAGTGTGTCGTTTTAAAACGTTTGTTTGATTGTCAAGCCGGTGTCAAGCTTATTTGGGTGTCGTTCCCCACCATAGCTAAAATAAGTAAAACGCAATTCTCGCATCCCCCATCGGCATATAACCCGGTTCTGCATAAAACATAACCAACTAAGTCTCGTCATGCATAGGCTGATGTGTATTACCCATATGGTGAGACATAACCAGTGTCAAATGCATAATATATGCACATGTGTACATACCACTTTTGCCTAGCAACCATTGTTTCTGTATTTCGTCGTCTGTGACGTCATTAAACAATTGACGTCCAGTCAGTGAACAGGACCCTCACACTTGCTTACCGTGTTTTACTGCACAAAGGTACATGAATAAAATGGATAAAAAAGAAATTATTACACTCGAGCAAGTGTGTCATACAACGGATACGAAACTCGTTAAAATTTTTGTGATACAAAATTTCACACTCGTTTCGTAGAAGTCGTACGACACCCTTGCTCATGTAATAATCTATTTATATGACAATATAAGGGATACGAGAACTGGGTTTTACTTATTTTACCCATGAGGAAACTGACACCCATAAAGGAAACCAAAAACTACCACGATAGAATAATAATGAAACATGTATCGTATTAAGTACACGAAATTACCTATCGTTATGCTGTTACTAATGTCATTGGCGTCCATATTGGAGCAGATCGATTCTAAGTTTCTGTCGACGCTGGCGTTGATCCTCAGATTCACGGAATGTTGACTTGTATCACAGTTTACTTCCATTCGGCTTGATAAGTCGTACATGTCAGCCTTGAAAATGGATATTTCACAGCCGCTTTGCGCGATCTGTGTTTGGAAGTTCTTTTCCGATTGATAAGCCAGTCAATGCTGGTGTAACTTTTATTTTGACTACAAGTCATTGTGACGATTTCTCCATCTGATGCTATTGCAGGGAAACTGGTTAGCCCTATAAGGTATAAAAATAAATATGTAACTGTGCACATTTACCCGAGGCAAGGAAGTTAACAGCCTATAAAACTCAAATTCACTTTTGCAATCCAGAGCGCGACGTTTCCAAATCGCTAGGGCTTGATAAAATGATCGATACTAAGAAATATCGTTGATAGGAAAAAGTATTAATGATTATCGATATGAAAATTGTGTCATCGATAACATCGTACCTTAACTTAATAGAGATAAGTTTCTGTATTCTCACACAGTATACAGATTTAGGACTTTATTCCTGGTCTGCATTTTAATTATGTTCAGAACGCTGTTTTGTTAATGAATCATGCAAAACATGTCACAACTCACAAGTGATGTGAAAATATTCATTTCCTTCAGACATTTTTGGTATTTTTCGCTCAAAATTACGTCTCCGATATTTACGGATAACCGATCGATATTTAGTTCACCAGTCTCGATCTCTATTATCTCGATAGCCAGTCCTACAAATCAATGACAAATTCCATATCGATATTTTAGTCCATTGCAGGTTTTACAACTCGTATACTGTCAGCTGGGCTTGGACACCTGCCTTTCTATTCATGTTGGTAATCCGCGGGATACCCAAGTAATTTGATCACTTTGAGAGGAAACATCAGTTATATTTTTTTCCATTTTGTAGGTCCAGATTATTTATCAGATCGTCTTAGTCAGGCACCACCACTTTTTAAAGACAAATTGAGGATAATCTACAGTTAGAAAGTGACTGGTCAAATAGAGGTTGGATATTGGTGGTGCTATGCTCAAGCGATGAAATTCCTGCCGTCTTCGGCAAGGGTCAAAACGTGGCTGTTTATAGTCAGATAACTCCCTTTCCTATGGAGTGAGTGAGTATAGTTTAACGCCGCTTTTAGCAATATTCCAGCAATATCATGGCGGGGAACATCAGAAATGGGCTTCACACATTGTACCCATGTGGGGAATCGAGCCCGGGTCTTTAGCGTGACGAGCGGACGCTTAACCATTATGCTACCCCACAGATCCTTTATGGGGAACATGACTGGCATATAATATAATCCCAAATGAATGGCACTCTTTTCATACTAATTCAAGTGTTCGTTTGGATGATAACTTATTTGCTGAACGGAATTTACATGGAAATCCTGTTTGTTTCCAGACAAATGTCACGTTATTTTATAGTTCATATTATTGGTGACACTCGTTTACAGATAGTACATAAACATGTGTGGGTGTTGCGTGGTCCTGTGCACTGAGCTCAGGTCACAATCAGTTGAAGCTAAGCAACGTTGTGCGCGGAGAGTCCTTGGATGGGTGACAGTGTGTAACAGCTTGACTCCTGGGCCTAGATTTTGGAACCTCTCTTAGCACTAAGATAGTCGTAAGTGCCATTCATTAACATTAACTTACGACTATCTTAGCGCTAAGAGAGCTTCGAAAAATCTAGGCCCTGAGAGTTTGTAGTCTGATACATGTGGTCTCACCTTAGGCAAGTGAGTTTGTTCAAAATTGCCTCTGTTCACCCAGCAGAAAATGGGTACCCGTGAACTAAATCGTGAGACTATTAACCTTGTAGCGCCTAACAGGCAGCTTGGGTTATCCGGGGTAATAACGATCAGACTGTGCGCTTTGAGCAGGATATATAGTCTGGAAAAGGCGCGTTATAAATGTTCTCCTTATTATTTGCTTACCTAGCTCCGATGCGTCCACTCGAAAGACAAGACATGACAACAGGATACCAAACATCGATGCACTATTGGTTGACAACGGCACACAGCTGACGGCTGTTGGTTTGTGTGGCGACACTCACCCAGTGTCTGTGTGTAGTACTAGATACTGACTTTTCTTTATGATTCAATACGCGTTTCGAGTTCCTTGTTCGTGTCATCGTTGGATGTAAATGAACATGTTTCGAGATCCTCGGTTTTTCATTAGAAATTGACTAACATATCCGGTTTCCGCCATAGCGTGTTGATGAAAGCATCTCCTCGCTTTATAGAACATATTGAACCAGGAGTTGCGTTTTGTTACAGATCGCCATACCCCTTGTAAAGTTAGACTGCACAAATGACGCAGAAAAATATGAAAACAAGAGATTCAGAAACAAGGCGGATCAGCTTTCTGTGGTGACGTTGAATGATCACTCGCTCTTACAATAACGTCCCAAATAACAAATGTATATATTATATTTACTCTTCAAAAAGGGTCACAGCTTAGACTACGGTAACAAACATGTGACCAATGTGTAGCAAATAAGTATTAAAAACACCAGTCATATACATGTATGTCTTCAAAATTTATTCCAGTCAACACATAATGTACAGTTACAATATTAATCTGTGCATCAGAGCCACTTTCCAAACACATAGATGCTTACTTCACACCTAAATCAGAAATGCAGAACCCTAAATTATCTCGGAATTACAACGCAGGTAGTCTGTAATATATCACATTACATAATACAAATTAAACATGCGTTATAAATGGCACAAAAGAAGAAACGCTTCTTCAACAGGTTAAGATTTTTTCAAAAAGATATATTTGATTTCATGAACTCTAGACTGAGCATGCGTGGAGGGGCTGGGCTTTATACTTTTATATTTTAGTGAGTGAGTGAGTGAGTATGTTAAAACGCCGCTTTTAGCAATATTCCAGCAATATCACGGAGGGGGGACACCAGAAATGGCCTTCACACATTTTATTCATGTGGAGAATCGAGCCCGGGTCTCCGGCCTGACGAGCGGACGGTTTAACCATTTGGCTACCCAACCGACCCATTATCAGACCACCTGGGCATCACATATGTGACGTTAAATCATAACTCACTCACTTTAATAAACATTAACTACTTCCTTCAGTGTTATCACAAGTTTTGTCAGTCTGTAAAATGTGACAGAGTACAGGATTGAAAATATCGGATAAAAACGAACTATGATTCATATTGTCATATCCGCGAGTTATGGAGACGCAACATTCGATACCAATAGAACAAAAATTCAGAGAGTTGTATTATTGTTTAAATTCGCCATATGCTCTGGTTTATAGAAAACAAATATACAACAGCAGTCCCACGAGATGGTCACAAGATGGACAGTCATATTTGTTCGTGATGGCGATGTAAGCACTGATATTTCTCAAAGTTTCCCAACTCCTATTACGAAAGTATTTTGAGCAAAGATGAAACATGTCGTAAGTAAGAAACAGCAGTGCTACTTCCAAGATCACCATGAGATGGATAGTCTAAATCTAAATCTAAAACAGGGTAACTATAGATGACAATACAATATGAAAACAGGCTATAGATCGCCAACAACAGAATGTAGATCTCTATACTAGGGACCATGGGGACTTACAGTACCTTTGCTACATGCATGTACCCTAGTTGGATTTACACCGTCCCTTCAGCTGCAGGCGTCTGTACGACATTTTAACCAAAATTAAAATAACAAGAATATTACGTTTAAAAATCCTGGTAAGTTTGAATTGACTTTGACAATTTTGGGAGTTACGTACCCTCTACGGAGGACAATAATTTCACAGTACAGTATGTTGAACAAGGGTGAAACATGTCGTAACGAGGAAACGCAATACTGTACATTGGTGGTACCCAGATATAAGGAGGTTGTTCCTGGCCTTATTTCAGTATTACACCAACTCCATGTACAGCATCAGCATGGTACCTCATGGTACCCCATTACCTCCCCTCTTGCCAAACTGTTAACGTTAATGATGCGATGTTAAAATGAAAAGAACGTTGAAATTATCAGTGAACTAAACTGGACATGAAGCATGGATTCATATTGCCAAGATCACATCTACATACACACCTACATTTAGGATGGACACCTCCAATCTGATAATTTATAAGGATATGTCCTGATCATAAGCAACTCAAATACATGGCTTTTAATTAATTTATTAACAAAATTTTCCCTATCTACCTTATAATGCATACATTTAACACCACTCACGCACAACAAAACATCTACAATGAATTCATTGTCAAACGAATCTTTAGGAATCACTTAAACAAGGCAAGAAACAGAGCCACTCAAGAGATTTTGGAGACTACCCTCTCCAATCTTTTGAACGTCGTACTTCATCAGCCATCAGCGGCTGAAAATGTAAACATTGTTTGAAAGGTATAAGTGACACTTTTTGTGAAAGTTTACATGATAACTATTGCATATTTAATACACGACAGTGAGATTTGTGTTGCAATTGTGAAAAGGACAGAAGAGCCGGACTGACGGATCGAATGCCATACACTTCCCGAGGGTTAAACATTTCCAACATCACAAGATAAAAGTGTATTGATGACAACCTCTGTAATTAGAGGAACCCAACACAGATGGCAGCAACTTCCACCAGAATTCCCTTCTTTTCCAAACACATCAGCAAGAACCAAGATCAAACCATCATGCGTGAAAACACTAAACACCCAATGAACTACTGGCCACATTGGTATTTTCCCAGTGCTGTTGATTCACAGGTACTTATATAGCTGTCTGCTTCCCATCCTTCATTTCATCTGATGGAGGAGTAAGAAGTTTTTCAGAAACGCCGTGTCCTCATTACAGAAACTGACATTCATAAATGTTTACCTGTATTGGGCATCACTTCAAATTGTCACTCAAAGATATTATTTTGACCATAACTATAAATATTCGCGGTTTAAAACGAATTCGATGGCAGAGAAAGATCCCTTGAAGTGACATTGAAGTCCATTCCATTACCATGACTCATCACGAAAACATTGGTTTACGATCCTGAGCATGACAAGTGAGTATGCATGTTTAGATAATGTTTACGTCAAAACCGTGAATAAAAAAACACAAAAATCAACATCAGATTTTTCTTGAGTGGATATTTATATACATTTGATGGTGTAAAACTC